TAGAGAAACGAATGGGGCTTTAGAGACACCATACCACAAAATTAAATATTCAAAGTAACAAAATATAGCTTTATTAATAAATATTTATTAATACTATTGCTAAATTTTTGAGAAGACAAGCAGTGCAGTTACTATCAGATAAAGTGGTCATTTTCTGACAGATGCCATATGGACTTCTTCTATTTGGGGCTTTTTTGACAATATAAGTACTGTTTGGATACACTTCCTAATATGGATTTGTAACTTTTTCCAACTGGCGGATATCCATATCTTTGATTGAGTGATCTTTTCTTCCCTTACTTTTTTGATCTATTGTTCATGTTTTTCCACTGGGCTCCTATAAAGTCCATGATGTCATCAATGGAACTATATACTTTGTCTCCCTGAATAAGCGGACTGTGCCCCAAGAAACGCGTTGGAAGAACTAGCAAAGTATTAACTTCGAACCACCATAATTATTATGCTATTTATACTGTTCAAGCCTAAATCTTGTAATGGTTCATACTGATTGTGTTTGTTACTAGCACATTGTACTTTTTAAGATGAACATTTTGTCTGTTCAACCCTCAATACCACAACTGTGGTTTGAATTTTATTAATAAAGCTATATTTTGTTACTTTTATGAATATTTAATTTTGTGGTCTGTTCATACCTATATCTTGTAATGGTTCATACTGATTGTGTTTGTTACTAGCACATTGTACTTTTTAAGATGAACATTTTGTCTGTTCAACCCTCAACACCACAACTGTGGTTTGAATTATATTAATAAAGCTATATTTTGTTACTTTTTTGAATATTTAATTTTGTGGTATGGTGTGTCTAAATCCCCATTAGCTTCTCTAGTTATGGTTATGTATTTTTCAGTGTCCGGTTATTAAGCGGTGTGGCAGGCACCAATTAAATCCCATTGGCAAGGTGGGAGACCCTTACTGCAAGTCTCCTTCTCCCCTTCTTCTCCAATACTATTTAGTCTAAGATATTTACAACTAATTCTGAATATATGGGAACTATATCAATTTTTCTGGGCCTGAAAGGTTCAGGGTTTGCAGAGATAAGGAAGGAAATTTGGTGGACTAATGCATAGCCTATACGCAGCCTATTATCTGTCCAACATTTCTGAGGTTTACTGTAAAGTTTACTTTTATCAAGTAAAGTACCTCATAAAGCAGTATTATAATGAATAGTTTGCTAGTATTAAACTGAAGAGTTTGTTTATGGGTTCTGAAACTCTTGAGGGAGCAAATTTGGTTTTCCGTTCCAAGGAACATTTTGGTGATACAAATGACAAATGTTCAGCTAAGCTCAGAATTCAATCTCAAAGACTTACAAGTTTAGCCTGTTCATCAAGAGAGATGATCTGTTTCTGAGAGTCTGTAAAAAAAAGAGCAGTATCTGTATTTACTGCTTGTGCTACATATTTTATGAAGCCTTGGTTTCTTCCAAATCGAGTGGCTTTTTGTAAAGTGGTTGTAAACCCCCAAAATCTAAATTGAAATAACCAGTCTACCTCAAAAAGCATAGCAGCAGAAGTCATCTGTCCCTAGTCTGTCCAAAAAAGGAGCAGCCTGTTATCTGAAATCCTCTCTGCTTTCCTACAGTGACAAAACCCAACATATGAAAAAAAATTGTGTCTCCACACCCCCTTTACTGTGACTGTTTCCAGCCCAACAACATTCCTGACAAAAAAATGCTGATTAAAGCCTGTGTGTGCATGGGCACATAGGAAAACATGCTGAGGAGTTTACTGGCTGTAGAAATAAATGCCAAAAGCCAAAAACAGAAGCTTGGACAGTGTGCATGAAGACTAAAAGTGGCCAGTCATTGAGGGGTTAATTGTGATCCTTCTGCTTGGCTTTCTCCCTGGCAGCTGTGGGGTAAAATCTGCTGCGTGAGGCCATTTGGCCCCTGTTAGTTGTTAATGATGACCTGTGAAAGCATGTATCCCCTCCTCCTCTGTTGGTCGAGATAAGCACATAGTGTCGGCACGGTCCGCTGAGTAATGGCACAGTCTGCTGAGTAATTCCCGAGCTTGGCTATTTCGGGGGTGATCTGTGTGGATAGCTGTGGGACACAAGCCCCCTTCTCTCATGTTCATCTATGAGACTCCTAATCAGGGGCGGACTGACCATTAGGAAATTCGGTTGCTGCCAGAGGGCCTGGGGTCAGTAGGGAGCCCCATGAGATTCCCCTGGTACCTTTTTCATAGGCTTTTTTGAGTTTGGGCAAGGACACAGGGGCCCCATGATCCCCTATTGCTCGGGGGCCCCATGAGTAGTTAGTCCGCCCCTGCTCCTAATTAGTCTGTCAGTCAAAGGAGAGGAGGTGTGAAAGCACAAATTTTTTCCATGTGTCAGGTTTTTATACCATAGGAAAGCAGAGAGAATTTCAGATGACTGGCTGCTCCTTTCTTGTCCATTTAGTAATAGTGCTAAACTGCTGATTGAGTGACAACAGTATGATCTAATTTATTGATGCTCTCATCTTGTTGTTTTTCAGTTAAATAGGTATTTATTGGTAATGTTGCCCCACTGATCACACATCCCAAATCGTTTATCTTGATGAACATAATGCCTTTCAACTGTTAGGAGATGTTGGCATTTCATCATGGTTGATCTGTCATTAAAAAAAAATCACACTTCTCATAAATCAGTAGGGTGCATGACAACATTATTAAATCACAGCATATTCCATTTGTAATCTATAGCCTAGACAAAAATGACATGATTACCAGGTCTGCTATGAGTGTTTGACATAATAAATCTCAGTTTCCATTGTTTTTAGTCAGATGACCATATTAAGGCAATAACAGAATCAGAAAGAAGTGAGGCTTGATTATGTAATGTACAAATATGGATGTTTCCATGTACACAACAAACATGTCATACGTATGTGCTCTGTGCAATGGTTCTGCACAGAGCAGACCCGATCCTCCTCTTTTCAGGTTCTCCACCGACACTCCTGGTCCCTTCCCCCTGCTGAGTGCCCACAGAACAAGCTGCTTGCTCTGGGGGCACTTGTGCTTGTTCGCTACTGAGACACACAGAGCTTGGCTTGGTCCCACCCCCCCACTCCCTCCTCACTGACTGTAATTGACAGCAGCAGGAGCCAGTGGCTCTCACTGCTGTGGGTCAGCCAATGAGGAGGCAGAGACCCGGGAGAACTCCCGCTCTTGTGTCCATCGCTGAATCGGGATCCAGCTCGGGCTCAGGTGAGTATAAGGGGAGGAGTTGAGGTGGGAGCTGCACACTGAAGGTTTTTTTTACCTTCATGCATAGAATGCATGGCTGGTACACTGTTCACTTCTCCCTGAGATTGACTAAAATATCCACACTGACAACAAAGATACTTTTAACTGCGTCGATACTTTATTATTTAAGCTTGATATCTATGAATGATGAACAATCAACCAATAAAACATGGCTAACACCAAATCCCTTTTAGCAGTGCTGAGTGGCGTATCTCCACTTTTCTTCCTTAGCAGGAGCCAATTCAGTCCCCAGCCGTCCAGGTTAGGCTCAGGGGCTTACTTGGGCCTCCTGCTACCAATTCCACCGCCTCTACCAGCCACCTGCCACCTCAGCTTGCAAAAGGGATAAATGCCAGCTGTGACAAAAAATACAGCATGACAACAAATATACATGACTGGAACCAATAATAACAAGTTGTCAGTTAATTATTGTGTAATCATTTATTCATTGTCCTTTAAGAAAAAACTGCACTATTGTTTTTTTTTGTTTTGTTTTTTTAAATTTATGTATGTATTCTTTTTTCTTTTCTTTTTTTAATTATTTATATATTTTCAAATGTCATAAGCAAAGCCATAACAACAAAAACCCATGAACAAAAAGTTGTGGAGGAGGGTGGAGACTTCTTTCTTCATGGAAGGGCGCCAATTGAGTGACCAGTATGTCACGGGACTGATGAAGGAGTCCCCTACTTTTTCTTCCTCCTACCAATAATCTGCCACCACAATCCAAATCATGTCCCTTCACCATGCTGTCCTTCTGAACTTCTCACTTAACCCCTTTATTACCCTACAGACTAGTCCAAAGGGATCGTCCCCAGTCATGATGCCTGCTGTGTTTATAGCACAGGGCATTGCTTGAAGGTAAAGAAACCTTCAGGATTTAGAACCACTTTAAATCTTTTATCCTGATATATAGACTAATCCCATTGTGTTTTCACCAACACACCCCTTTCTCCTGGACATCCACAATACTGAAACATCTTGTTTTCATAAAGCCGTTTATGCCTGCCAACATCTTTTCAAGCTTCCTTTTCGAGCATGCACAATGTGAATGGATGAGGTAATCTTTGGAATCCAAATACATACACAACTTTTGAATGCCATAAGATAAACAAAGTTTGACACTGTCTCAGAAATGCAATGAATGTTTTATGCACAAACAAAATGCTAATTTGATTGCATTGCTGACAACTGATTCATTTGTTTCCTCCTTTCATCTTGTGATAAATAAAAAAGGTGAAATTAAAAAGAATATTCTCATTTTTATCAGTCAGTACAATTTTGCAGGGTTGGTAAAATCTACATTTTAAAGGCACACTCCAGTCAAAACTTAAAATTAAGGCCTAACTCCAAACAAAAATGAATTTCCAAATACTTCCTGAGCCATCCTACAGTTTAACCACTTGCCTACAGGCCACTTATACCCCTTCCTGCCCAGGTCAATTTTCAGCGCTGGTGCACTTTGAATGACAATTGCGTGGTCATGCAACATTGTACCCATTTGAAATTTTTATCATTTTTTGAGACATATAGAGCTTTCTTTTGGTGGTATTTAATCACCTCTGGGTTTTTTATTTTTGCTAAACAAACCAAAAACAACTGAAAAATTTGGAAAAAAAATGTTTTTTTCTTAGTTTCTGTTATAAAATTTTGTAAATAAGTGATTTTTCTCCTTCACTGATGTGCACTAATGAGGCTGCACTGATGGGCACTGATAGGTGGCACTGATAAGGAGGCACTGGTAGGTGGCACTGATGCACATTGACAGATATCACTGATGGGCACTGAAAGGCAGCACTCATATATGGCACTGATAGGCGGCACTGATAGGCGGCATTGACTGGCACTGATAGGTGGCACTGACTGGCAAGGTTAGGTGGCACTGACTGGCACTGTTAGGCAGCACTGATAGGCAACACTGATAGGCGGCACTGATGCGCACTGATAGACGGCACTGACTGGCACTGATAGGTGGCACTGATTGGCAGCACTGATAGGTGGCACTGACTGGCACTGATAGGTGGCACTGAAAGGCAGCTCAGATGGGCACTGATATGTGGCATTGATGTGCACTGGTGGGCACTGATATGTGGCATTGATGTGGCACTGACAGGTGGCATTGATGAGCACTGACAGGTGACATTGATGGACACTGACAGGTGGCATTGATGGGGCTACATTGATTATCAGGGCACACTGATCATCAGTGCCCTGATGGTCTGTGTAGATGTCCCTTCTGAGGAATGCCGTTTACCGGCTCTTCTCTCATCACAAGCTGTCAGCATGACAGCTCGTGAGGCTAGAAATGCCGATAACCGCCATTTCCTTATGTTCATGTAATCAGCTGTGATTAGACACAGCTGATCACATGACAGAGCCGATGTCTTCGGCTCTTTCCATTGATCGTTTATCTGCTGTGTCCCAGGGACACGGCGCACCACCGTTTGCCGTGCTACGTGCTCCCAAAGCCACGCACGCGCGGTTAGAGTGGGAGGACATCATATGATGTCATAGGCAGTTAAAGAAATGAAGTCACAGTTTACTCTAATTTCCTGCCCTGGGGACCAGACATTTATCCCTGATCGTTATCGTCTTGGACACTGGTCCTTTCACCGCCCCCTTGAGTTCTCCTGCCTGTGGACCCTATGAGGACCCAGCCTTTGGAAGTGTCACTTGCACCAATAGAAGGTGTCCACATCAAGCAGAGGAATTTGGACACCTGAAGAATGACCCAGGAAAGTAAATGGAATAAGAGTGAAGGATTGTCATGTGACAGTGAGGTAGCTTCAAGTAAGGGGAGTGGGAGAGAGGATGGGGGAGTGGTTGCTAATATATTGGAATTGGGTTTTAAACATAAAGATGTCTGCAGGGAGCATATCCTCCCTGCTCATTTTGTTTCCCAAGCAATCCTGCAATACCATGCTCCCTTTTGTTGGTATTTGTTGGCATTGGGAGAACCCCTGTTTATGATTCAAGAGAGCTCTTCCTGAACACACCCTGAACACAGGTTACTTGCTTTCTCTCCAATACAAATTGTATTAATTTTATTACAAGGGTCAATCAGATTTAAACCTTTTTATTTTTTAATTACTCATTTATACAGGAATTTGAGGAAGTCAGACATCCTTGTCTTCAGGGAGTAGTACACTCCCAGCAATCATATGTAGCACTTTTTGAATTGTGTCTGTATTCATTTTCAAGAAATGTTACTTTGTATCAGCTACTGTCAGTAAATGGGTGGGGCGGGTCTCAGGGAGCTCTGTGAGTGGGCAGGGCAGGGACCGGGCTGGGATGTGTGTGGAAGGTGAGCTTCGGCTGGTACATTACGGTAGTGCTGTCAGATATTACAGTAAGGAGATGTGACAGCAGGGAGCTCAGTAGGACACATTGGGGGTTTAGTGGTGTCTGCAGTGGATGTGTCCCTAGGACAGCCAGCACTGAATGGAGCTCACAGTGAATGGGAGGGGAGAGCCGAGCTCACACAGGTCAGTACATACCTGAGGCTTCATTGGGACTCTACACTGGGGAAACCAGTGACAGTGGCTGTGCCCTAGGCAGCTGCCAAGTTCTCCTAATAATAGTGCCGGCCCTGTCTGTATTGGATGACAAAGTAAGGTAATCTGAGTAAATTTTCTAATCTTGTCACAGTTCTATAGTTTGCTGAATAGCATTAAAGTACATCCAAGGCCAAATGGTTTTTTTTTTGGTTTGAATAGAGTTGGGAAGAGTTAAGATACAACTAAAGGCAAAGTTTTTTTTTTTCATTTCAAATAAAGTAACGGAGGGTTATGAGCCTTGTAAGTTTTTTAATCTGTGTCCCACTGGGTAGAATTCTCTTCACTTCCTCTCGTGAAGCCAAAACAGCAGGTGAAAGGAAATGTCTCCAAAGTGAGGTAATCTTTGGTTTTCATGGTCACCAGAGCTAGTGTTCCCATTGGAAGATTTCCTTTCTATTCCTGTTCTGGTGACAACCCAACGATTGAGATTTTCTTTTACTTTCACTCTTGATGATAACTGCAAAGAAGACAAATAAGGGGGGTGAATCTCCTTAACAGGGACACGGACAGCAAAGTAAACCCGACTAACTGTTCTAATTTGTAAGGGTTACCAAATGCAGGTTTCCAACAAAGATGGCCAGATCAGTGGACTGCAGCGGCGGAGTGACCATTTGAAAACTCAGGCACTGCCCGAGGGCCTGGGGTCAGTAGGGGGCCCCATGAGATGACCCTGGTACCTTTTTCATAGGCTTTTTTGAGTTTGGGCAAGGACACAGGGGCCCCATGATCTCCTATTGCCCGGGGGCCCCATGAGTTGTCAGTCTGACCCTGGTGGGCTGTACCTTAAGAAATCAAGAGCCAGGCTGAATAAGGTTAAATGAAGTGTATTAAGATAAATATCCCTCTTCTAACCCCAACACCAGTAAACTATAAACAATATCAAAAAGACAAAAATAAATATGACAGTGCAGAACCCAATGATAACCTAGCTATGTACAAATGGAGGGAGCACACGTAAGCAGGGCAAGGTTAGGACTGAGACAGGAAACAGGATGAGCAGGTAGCAGGGTACTGGGAGATGGATGCAGGGAGCAGGTTACAGGAACAAGGAGGGAGATCAGGTACAAGAGCAGGTACAGGAACAAGGCACAGGATCGGTATCAGGCAGGGAAACGGCTCACAGAAAAAATACCGCAGCACTGAACTTCAGTTAAGGGCAGGATTAAATACCTCCCAGCAGACCACATCAAGTGCAGACTAATTATTCAGACTGGCTGCTGGGAGGCACCCACTGGTGGCCACCGGAATTGCACCTTTCAACTCTGGGAACTACAGTGCCACCATCAGGTGACCTGGGTATTGACACAAGTCCTGACTCTATACAAAATTACAATAAAGAGTTATAATTCAAACCCTTATTAGGTTATTTTGGTCATTTATGTCCTATTGGGGAGACGACGCCTCACTTGCAGTCGCATAGACACAACAGGGTGCAAGAGGAAATCTTTTTGAAATAAGTAAAATCCTCTTTCTTAGAAAATTGTCAATGCATTGAAAGATTTCCCTTCCATTCTTGTTCTGGTGACAGATAACTCAAAAGGATGGATATTCCCTTACTTTCAGTCCTGGTGACAATGCTTACCAGGGCAAATAGAGAGTGAACATTTACCTAGTGTGGACAATGACAGCAATAAAAACCTCAGATAAGTAATAGCCAGCACAACACCAATAATGTCTATAGTTTAATGAGGTGAGAATGCAAAGGCCATAATGAACACAAGATATATTCTATACTCCATAATGAACAAATCCTCAACACCTGTAGAATCACATATGCCCAATTTATATACTGTGCAAGGGTGACCATGAAAAACCACAAATAATAAAAAAGTCAGGATGGTGAGTAGTGAGTGCATAATGGTGGTGTGTGTTCCAGAAACAGGAACTGGTGGCAGTACATTTGGAGAGCTGAATAGCAGAGAATGTTGAAGTCAAAGAGTGCAAAGGTTGGAAAAGTACTGGGCATGGCTAGAGATTTGGAGAACAGGAATGTTAGCATATTTCCATAAGAGAGTGCTTGAATAAGTAAGCAGAAGTCAGGGAATGCTGTTCTGTAGTGCTTGAAGTTTTGAATTTGGCAATATCTAACCAGATGTTAATTAGGAATTGAAAGTTATTGGATGCTAAAATCCCCTGATGAACTAGAGAATATACAGAATGAAAAAATGTTAAGGAGAACTCTCTGGGGTATTTAGAATATTGCATAGAGAACTAGCCTTCATCACCTTCCAGCAAACAGATCAAATATTCAGCTCTAGCAGCAGTAAAGAAGATGAAAACTCAACAGTGACTGTGTCACCACACAGAGCAAGTTTGGTCCAATTTTTAATTAAGGTCTGAACTTAATCAAATTTCAAAATCCCTTGATCTACATATGTATGAATTAGATGGATATATTCCAAAAACTATTTGCTTAAACAACTCCCAAAAATAATTATATCCCTCCCCTGCCAGCAATGCAAAATGCACCACTTCATTAACATGAATGTTAACCCCACAGAATGTACACAGAATGGAAACAGGTGAATATAGAAAGATAAACTCATAACCTTTCCCCAGGTTATTTTCTGACATTTGCATTTTGTTACAAGATCCAATGCAGGTTTACTGTGTGAGTAGATTTTATCCAGAAACATGTGCAAACCAGAAAAATACAGACAAAAATATATACCAAGTAGAAGGTACAGTATGTAGACATCCAAATTATTGGGTTCATGTGCACAGCCATGCAAAGCAGTGTGCAGCAGCTGACAAAGAGGAGAACTGTTTTGTTTACTAACATCCCCCCCCCCCTGTTGGAGATCCTCAGCAATCGCAGGGCGCCGGCGAGTAATCACCAGCCGGGACCCGGTGATTGAAAGCTTTGGCGCTCGCCCCCCTACCCGGAAATGCAAAATCACATATACAGTATATACGTGATTTTGCGCACAGCTGCTATGGGCCAGAGCTAAAGTGGTTAAAAGAACATGTTTTAATCAGAGTATAGCATCAAGGTAAATAAACTCCTGGGATATTGATCTGGTCAGTTAAGTAGCAGAGGGGGTTGTTAATTAGTTTCAGCTACTTTGGTGTTAATGAAATGGTGTTAACGATGGGCAACAATGAGATGACCCCCAAAACAGGAATGGTTTTACAGGTGGAGGTCACTGACATTGTTTTCTCTACTCATCTTCTCTGACTGTTTTTCACTAGTTTTGCATTTGGCTAGGGTCAGTGTCACTACTGGTAGCATGAGGCGATAACTGGATCCTACAGAGCTTGCACAGGCAGTCCAACTCCTCCAGGATGGCACATCAATATGTGCCATTGCCAGAAGGTTTGCTGTGTCTCCCAGCACAGTCTCAAGAGCAAGGAGGAGATTCCAGTAGACAGGCAGTTACTCTAGGAGAGCTGGACAGGGCCGTAGAAGGTCCTTAACCCATCAGCAGGACCGGTAGCTGCTCCTTTGTGCAAGGAGGAACAGGATGAGCACTGCCAGAGTCCTACAAAATGACCTCCAGAAGTCTGAATGTCTCTGATCAAACAATCAGAAACAAACTTCATGAGGGTGACCTGAGGACCCAATGCATATAAGCACGTGGGGACCATACAAACTACTGAGTACCATTT